ACAGCTGATGGCAAGTGTGGGCTTCTGCACTGAAGTAGAAGAAGATTTGATAGATGCTGTGACCGGACTCAGTGGCAGTGGACCTGCTTATGTACGTGCCATGTCTTTCCTGTATAAGCAAAAGAGAATGTGAAAGGATGGGGTGGGGGGTGGGGTGGGGTTATATGCAGAAATGTAACTAGTATCTTGTATTTTAAGAGGAGGCAAATTAGCTTGTAGTATTTGAGAATGAGGCTTTATAACTAAGTGTTTGATTACCTAGATGTCATCAGAGCAATTGGAGTTCTAGGTAGTTTATTCCAATCTGTCCTAGGCCACCAACAAGGATCCATTACTAAAATTATGGAATACAGCAATTTCCTCAGTCTGTGCTGATTGGGAGTTCTGGACATTGTAGATGCAGCACAGCTGGGAGGCACTAGATTGAGGAACTCTAATTTAGATAATCAATTGCATTGTTATGTTCCACTTCCAGAACTTCTACCTTTATTTTTCTTTAACTATTGATCTCCTAGGCATTCACAGCCCTGGATGCCCTGGCAGATGGAGGGGTGAAAATGGGCCTTCCTCGCAGGCTAGCGGTCCGATTGGGAGCTCAAGCCTTGTTGGTCAGTATCTTACCTTGTGGTCATCAGAATAGTCATTGTGACAACCCTACCTTTTGATACATGATAGGGAAAAAAAGTCATTTAAAAAAAAAAAGCTGGATGTTTGAAATTCAAAGAAGCACCCTGCACCACCCAGAAATGAAAGTACAAAGAAACGAAGACACTATTGGATCATTTGGTCATGTGTGAGACAGGTCATAATTTTTCTAATCCATTGGACAATTTACAGTTTTAAGAAAAGGACTATATCTGCCATAATTTACATTTTTCTCCTCAGAGTTCCAGCTAAGTACAGGTTAAATGTATTGCTGCTATTCTCCAGCATGCCTCTGATTTGTCTACCCAATACTGTAGGGAGCTGCCAAGATGCTGTTGGAATCTGAGCAGCACCCTGGACAACTTAAGGACAATGTTTGCTCACCAGGAGGTGCTACCATCTATGCCCTTCACTTCCTAGAGAGTGGTGGTTTCCGCTCATTGCTCATCAATGCTGTGGAGGCGTCCTGCATCAGGACACGGTATGCTTGCACATAGAGGAAAGAATTGTCCCCCCTTGGGCTGTGTTCTCTGAGTTGCTAATACATTATCTGTCTTCAACAGGGAACTACAGTGCTTAGCTGACCAGGAGAAGGTCTCCCCAGCTGCCATTAAGAAGACCTTAATGGATAAAGTGAAACTAGAGTCTTCCTCTGCCAACAAGGTCAGCCTATTCAACAAGAAGAATCCTGGCAACAAGAAGTTCTGAAGAGACCCAACCCTTGCCTGATCCTGCTTTCCTTTTCTTTGAAGGGAATCTTTAGTACAAAATTTTTTTTAAAGGGGAGAGGGGAGAGGTATTGTGGACTCAAACTGCTGGGAGAAAGGGATTTAAGCTTCCAGAAGTAATTATTAAGGAATAATAGGGCAGTGTTCTTGGGGGCTATGGGGAAAATAGTTTTATCAGCCATTTCTCTTAGATGAGTAACTACATCTAAGTAGTATCTTCCTTTGAACTTGACAGATGATTTGTTTGCTTACATTTTTTAACCCTATCTTTCCTCCAAAGAGCTCCTTTCCCAGTTAACCTCACAACAGATTTGCACAACAGGTGATCCTGAGAAATAATGACATAGTCAAGCAAAAAGCTGAATCCAAGTATTTCTGAGTCTTGTTTACTTGCATTCATTCTGTCTGCCTCTTCCTCTCTTGCTCAAACACACACACACAGAGGAATGGAAGCAGAATCTTCAAATCTTGATTTTGCAATGTATCCCATTTTAATCAAACAATGGCTTCTTCATCTACCGCTCCTGGATTTCATATAGGTTATGTGTTTGTGCTTATCTCCCATAATAGGCTGCAAGAGTATCTACAGTAGCCTGTCTGTAGTCCCTTGATTCCATAAGAACAGAAGAATCTGTTTAAAAAGAAAGATCAGTCTGTTTCTCCATTTGACCAAATATTGTAGCCCAAGCTTCTAGTATATAAGCTATAAGAAATCTCAACTAGATGCAGAATCTGCTATAGCATATACCTGGAAGTTGTTCAAATTACATGGGGGATTATTCATACATAATTTTGATTTTCACAGTGGAGTAGCACAAGGTGTTAACATTTTGGTAAAAGCATCAAAAATAACGAAACAGTACTATGATGCGAGAATGAGTAACAATTAGATGCAGTTGTGATCTAATCACAAATTCATCTATTGGATTTTAGTTGCAGCATTCTTCTAATAGATAAGGATTGAGACTTGAAGCTTGCTTAAAGCTGCAAAATGGAAAAATTAGTGAGGTGTACCTTCCAGGTAGATCTGGAATCTAAGAACTTATTTTTATTGATCATATTTTATTTATTGATCTTATTTGTATAGCCGTCCATCTCACAAGAGAGTGACTGTGGGTGGCATACAACACTGTACAATACTGGCATACAACTTACTATAGTGAGATGGAGGGAAGTCAGCTCTCTCATTTCTTTTAATGCCAGTGTCTTGCTTTTCTAATGGCTCCCTGCCATTTCCAGCCCATGGATACTGTTGTGTTATATACCGCTTTTGAGTAAAATATTTTTCCGCTGAGGAAAGCAGAACTAAGCCTTTATCTGTAGAACTTAAGTCTCTTTGTATCCTGGAGGCAGATATGTGTTCTGGACTAACTGGGAGTTTCAGGATGCCTGCCTTGCTAGAGCCCAAAGATTCCTGAAGACGTAGATGGTGATTGTGCCCATGAAAAGCCCAATGGCAGAGCAGTTCTGTACCACTTGATCTTTGTACACTTCCTGCCTAGATTCTCTAATCTTTTCTTGTCACTTTACTCTTTTCTATTTTCTGGAACACACATCACAGGAGAGTAGTAGCTCTTATTTTGTGAATGAGCCACAGCGTGGACTCATTCTTTCCCCTCTCTTACACTGATAAGAGCTCAGAAACAACCATTCTGTCTTTAAACAAGCCACATTTCCTTGTTACATCTGAACTCAGGAAACATCTTAATTATTTAAGTGAGAATAATTCAGGATTAAACTATTTCCCAAGGAATATGAAGCAGGATTCTATTGGGGTGAAGCTTTTGCCTACTTTTTATGACAGCCCAAATGGTCAAAGAATTAGAAAAATTTTTGCTTTAGGTACTTGCTGCCAATAGAGGTGCTATTTTTCTGGAAATCTTTATGTATCGAACACTGAACAGTCTACATTCCTCAATTTAAAATTATATTTGACTTCGTCTGTAGTTTGATTGCATTAAAGTGCTCAGTAGTTGAAACCTTAGGTGTTTTCTTTCTTACCTTCCCCTTTAACAACAAAAACTTGGCCAGCAACCAAAGGCCTTGCCTTTCCCACCTCCCTGAATGGCAAAGATGGAACAAAAATTGGTTGAGGGAGAAAAAATACAGTGGAGCAGTGGCCTATCTGCATCCTGGAAAACTGATAGAGGAAGATCTGGTTGTAATGATAAGTTTGATTTTGAATTTAGAACAAAGCTGACAACTTATATGTAAGAAATTCAGCATATAACTCAGATGATCAAATGCCTGTAGGGTTGAAGTTGATATACGTTTTAAAATAATGTTTAAAGCAATAGTAAGGTTTGTTTCTAAGCTTTTGCTGGATTTTCTTCTGTTTATTTTGGTGCTCTGGGAATGGGTTAGTTTTAGAAGAATTTGAAAGTCATATTTTTCTTTCTCTCTCCAGTTCTTGGAGAATAAAGTCTGATTTTCTCACTTGAAATTTGGTGCGTAGGCTGTGTGTTTATTATATGGATTCTATGCATAATAGTAGCTCTTTTCAAATGGGAGAGCTAGTCTTTTGCCCAAGCAGATGGGAGTCTGGCTTCCAAACAGATATGGTTGAATTATTTCTTTCTCAAAGTGGGAGATAGAGAAATTCACTCTTCTTTAGTTTGTAAAATCCATATACACATAGAGCTGTACTTTAATCTGTGACATTTCTAAACCCTGTAATTTGTATTGGTGATGGTTTCACAAGGTTTAACATGCTTGTTTTTTATGTCGAACTCTTCCACTTTCCTACTGTGTTTTGTGGTGGTTCTGCTCCTACCAGAATCGGTGGTTCCAGTTGTTGGTTATGGGGCCCAGCGCTTGACTTGTGTGAACTCCAGAATGAGATTCCCAAGGGCTTGATGCTCTTCCCCATGTTATTTAACATCAATATGAAATGGCTGTTGGAGGCCACTCACTGATTTGGGATAAGGTATCATCAATGGGCTGGTGATACCAAGTTATGCATTGCCATCTTGGGCTGGATGGGAAATAATGTAGAAGTGCCTCCAGTGCCTGGAGGTTGAGGATCTTGATGGGGTAAAACAAGCTCTGATTAAATGCTTCCAAGAAGGAGCTGTGGCTCATCAAATATCTGGGCAATCCAATAACTGTGGCCCCAGTACTTACTCTGGATAGGGTTGCATTCCTCCTGAAGGAGGTGGTTCATTACTTGGAGGTCCTTCTAGACTGTTGACCCCTGCCAAAGCATCAGGTTTAAGTCATGACTGGTGGGGATTTTGCCCAGTTCTGGCAGGGATGCCATTTATGATCCCACTTGGACCAGGATGCACTAGTGACAATAACTCATATCTTGATCACTATCCAGTTGGGACTGCTGTAATATGCTGTCAGCCTAGCGAGATAGTCCAGATAGGAAGCATGACCAGATGAACTAATTCTGCTTTATTGTAAGGTTACATTAACAGACTCTTGCAAGTCTGAAAGCACATTTTTCTTCCATCACCTTTACAATCTAAGACATTAGGGTCCCTTCTAAGAAGTTTGCCACACTCATTCCTTTTGTGGGCTCAGCTGCCTCTTATTGACTCTTCCCCTGGATGTGGCTCTTCCCCATCTCCCAAGGTCATTCCCACATACCATTATACATGCTCTACATAGGATGCATGTGCTCAGGATGACTGCTCCTTGTGAGGAGACCGCAGGATAGCAGTTTCCCACAGGTCTGAGCACTGGGAGATGAAGGGAACCACCATGCTCTCAACCACAGTGGAGCCTTTTAAAGGACACTGAGTTTGCTAACTTTTTAATCACTTTTGGAAATTACCTATTCAACTACCTTAAGGATATTAGAGATCTTCAAAACGACAAGTTTGAAAAGCCATCTGGTGAATTTACCTCATTCTTGAACAAAAGAAACATTAACTATAAGCTTAAGAACTTAAAGAATGGCAAAAAGCTAAATAAGAATTTAAGAAAGTTATAAATGAATGAAGGGACCAGACAAAGTTGGAATAATGGAATATTAGGACTTTTGCTATAAGATTTTGGAAATAATTATATAAATAAACACCATGGGAACCAATTGATTTAGTCTATCCTAAATCAAAACAGAGATTTGAGACTTTATTATTTTAGAAACTGAACACTAGAGGGGACTAAAGTTTCCAGATAGAAAGGGAAAAGGAAAAAAAAGTGAAAAGCCTATCTCTTGTCTTTGGTCAGCGTTGGAACTTGCAAAATGAGAGAAACCACTATGACATTTGAAATATTTAGGAGATTTTTGAAGAATAAGGTAAAAAATAGCAACTTCAATCTCAGTAATGATGTATGCTTCTATGAATAGACTATGTCCAAAAGATATTAAAGAAGAAATTACTGATGTGAAAGAGAACATCTTGGAAGATTTACAAGATAAAGAGATGAAACAAATTTTGCCTGATACAGAAATATCAAAACATAAAGAATTTGCAGAAATACTGGAAAATAAAAAAAATCATGATGATAGAGAAAAGAAAGTGGAAATAAAAATGATGAACCAAGAGATTGACCTGGATAAGGACTTTTCAAAAGAAGTTGGTTAAAGCCTTGAAGAAACCTTTGAAATGGGAAAAAGAAAAATTGAAGAGAGATCAAATCCTATGGCAGCATCTGAATGATCTAAAGATTAAGATTGTTAGAAGCAAAAAGGAGTACAAAGTTGGTTTGTTTGATCAAGATTAAAATAAGATATCTTTGTATAAATCTGGGATTCCTTTATGGACTTTCTACTGACACCAGGACTGAAATGTTAATGATTTATGGATTTGTGTATGTATACGGGATAGGTTATGGGAAAAAGAGATACTTGCATGTAATGTTATAGGGAGTAATTAATCATTAAGCTTGTTTGTACTTGTGATGAAGATCGGAAGCTACTTTTTAAAATATTTCTTTTTCTTTCTCTTTTCTGTACAATTTTTTATTTTTATTTTTTACTCTGAGTTTAGTTTGTATTTTACTTTACTATTATTAAAACTTTCAATAAAATTATTTTAAAAATCTCTACATGTACAAAGTTAAAAACAACTTCTGCAAATTTGCATCCATACTATTTATATGCAGTTTTTTATCATTCAAGATTGAATATGGCGGATGTATAAATTTGGACACCTTTTCCGGCAGTAATATGTAACACTGCCTTGGCAGAAATAACAGCTTCCAAAAATTTTCTGCAGCTAGCTACCTTTTTCCACTCTTCCACGCAGAACTTTTCTAGCTCAAAAATATTCTTAGGTATCTTCTCATGCAATACCTTGTGGATTTTCAATATTTTAGTCCAAGGACTGTGAATGCCATTCCAAACTTTTATCTTTAAATACTTCATAGTTCATTTTGTGATATGTTTTGGATTGTTTTCGTGAAAAAAGCAACCTCTTCAGTTTCAATTTCTTCACTGACCATCAGAAGGCTGGTAACACCTTTTCAGACTAACATATTTTGTTAAAAGGCATAAGCGTTCATGACCTACAGTTCACTCCATCAGATGCATGGAGTGGCTAAACTTGGGTAGGATTTAAACTGAGATGAGGTGGAGGGGGGAGGGAGGGGAAGACAAGGTGGTTATGCAGAAGCAGGTTTTATATGAAACAAATACCTTATTGGTTAACAATTGTAATATGTTAAAAATCTACTGTTTATCTCTTCTCCTACAATATCTTCACTGATTGTGGAATATTAGCGTTTAAGATATGTTGATACTGTATTTAGTTCAATCCATTCTTCCTTCCATAGACACAATGTTTCTTGTGCCACTGACTGTTATTCAACCCCAAAGCATAATAGAGCAACCCCTGTGCTTAACAGTTGGCAAGGTGTTTTTTCAAATGCTTCACCCTTTTTTCTCCCAATGTATCTTGTGTGGTTCTGATTGAACAGTTCTGTGATTGGGGCATCCTCTGGGTTCATAGGATTTGATGAATGACACACAACTACAAAGGTAGTTCTTTTGGGTTTTTAAATCCTTTTATTAAAAGAAAATAGGAGATTTTAATTTTTTTATTTTAAAAAAACATGAGTTTATTTTTTTTTCAAGCAAACTAATTGCACTGCATTCCACTGTGCTTCCTTCCCTCCTTCCAAGCAGTTTAAGAGTGATTTTTTTTGGTAAAGCCTAAAACAACTCTAAACATGCATATTTGTAGATTATGATACAAACTAAACTTATCCGTACAGTACTAACTCAACTACTTCCTAATTTTAGAATTAAGGAAGAGTTTACAGAGATCGGTGGCAATTTTGTCTCTCAGTCTGGCTGGCAGCTAGCTGGGAGGTAAGACTGAATTTCTGTCCTCTTTGTTTCCTTTGGGATAATCTTTGCAGGGTAGACCACATCCTCGTTTTTGAGTCTTCTCTGGACTGTGCCCAACAACGTTATTCAGAGACTTCTCCAGATCTGTCCTCAAACCAACAAACTTGCAGTAATACAAATACCACCCAATCCAACTCAGCTTTTCCAGCCATATTGTTGTTTACTGAAACAACAGATTTTCAATAGCCAGAACTAAGTCCATCTTAGTTGCCAGCTATTTTCTCTATTTCAGTTCTCTTCCTCCTTGGCCAATTTCTTTCTGATGATTTTAAACTACCTCTGTTGACAGCTCAACATTTGTATCCCCTCCTCCTATCTCCTATAAGCAGCTTTCCTGTGACAGCCATATACAGTATCTACTGTGCCTAGTACCAAATTAGCACAACCCAGTACAAAGCATTGATCTGAGTTACTGTGAACATCCACTTGCAGTATAAAGCACTGAAAAACTGGGAGTCACCTGCCATATTCATTTCTTCTTTTTCTGAAGTTGTAAACAACTGCACATAAATAGTATGTATTCACATTTGTAGAAGGCTCTTGTGCTTACTCTACACCCACTCTTTGGTTAGAAGCTACCTCAGTTAGTGACCATTCACAAATATGACAGTAATAAACCGTAATAAAAAAATCATTTTCCAACCAGTACATGCTTTTATGACCAAATTTTATGCACCTGACAACAAAGCACACTGGAATTAGAATAATGCTGGTGTGGCTGTCTGAGGGAACTTTATCTGAATGAGATGGCAGCAACTGGTGATTTGCAGCATCATTCTCTCTCTCTCTGTCACCTGTTCACTTAGTGTCAGCCCTCCCAGGTAAACCAGACAGGAAACATGACTAGATGAGCTAATTCTACTTTATTGTAAGGCTATATTAACAGAACTTTGCAAGTTTGAAAGTACAAATCTCCCACCCTCCCTATTTACTGCCTGATTAGTTAGGGTGGGTCCTTCCTAAGTTTCTTTCTCTGGCCATTACTCTGTTGTGGACTCCTGTCTCTTTTATCTGATCATTCCCTAGTTGGTGTCTCTTCTCCCCGCCCCGTCTTCCAAGGTCACTCTCACATTCCATCACACTTAGTGACCATTTCACTTAATGACTTGGTCATTGAAATGGAACTTGGTCGATAAATG